GGAGTTGTCGCGCACCAAGGTGAGTTGCGATTGACTCGGCGTTTCTTTTGTCTGCTTGCGAAACTCCATCCCGCTGCCCTCCCCCCGCTTCCTTTCAAAGCCAGTGAAACTTACCCAGAAAGTTAGTGCACAGCGGTGCTGCCCATGGCGACTGTCGGCTCCATCGCAGATGATAGAGAGCGGGTCCTGGAGCCAGAACTGGCCTTTCGTTGCCTGGGGGTGGCAGGGGCTGTCTGGTTTCCCTGGGCATCAAGGAGCAAGTGAAAGGGGTTCAGAGTGCGGTGTGATTATTTTTCAAAGCCAGTGAAACTTACCCAGAAAGTTAGTGCACAGCGGTGCTGCCCATGGCGACTGTCGGCTCCATCGCAGATGATAGAGAGCGGGTCCTGGAGCCAGAACTGGCCTTTCGTTGCCTGGGGGTGGCAGGGGCTGTCTGGTTTCCCTGGGCATCAAGGAGCAAGTGAAAGGGGTTCAGAGTGCGGTGTGATTATTTGCGCAGACAATACAGGGATGTGCCCCGGGCAGGGCTTCTGGAAATCCCCCGTCCTTCTGGCTGCAGCTTAGCTTTGGGGCTCTTGTCTGTTGCTACCTTTCCCTCTTCGGGTTTGGAAGAGGGGCTGGGTAGTTGGGCTGGGGGGGGGGGGAGGGGGGACAGGTGAAGGGCCAGAGTGGTTTTGGCACTTTTTTGCTTTGCCAGTGGGAGCTGCTGCTGCTGCTGCTGCTGCTGGCCCCAGAGCTGTAGCTTGCGCAACAGGTAGAGATGCCAGCGACTGGGAATCTCTTTTGTTGTTGGTCTCGTGGCCGGGATTAGGCTTTTGTTCTGAAGGGTGGATGTCTCCACAAGTGAAAGGACAAAGTCTTGCCAGATCCACCCGGGCGTGTATGTGCGCGCCTGTAAAGGGCCCCTTTCCTCTCTGGTGTTTATGTTTTCCTCAAATCTACGTTTGTCCCCGAGTCTCTGGAAGATCAAACCGACCGAAACCAGCTACCACGGGGATTGTTCTCAGGGATTGTCAAGGGAATCCAAACAAAGAGGTGCATCTACCGGAAATAATGACCTGAGAGATGGTCCCCCACCCCCATTGAGATTGTTTTTCTGGGAGGCTCAGTGGAAGTTTGGACTTGGAGGCTGCTAGAGATGAGGAGGATTAACAACTGCAATGCTAATTGAGTGGAGGAAGAAGAGGAGGGGAAGGGCAGGGTTGCTCCTTTGGATACGCAAGGACTGGGTTGGGGGAGGGCCAGGACGGGGGAGGCAGAGAGGAACCTGCTGCCGCTCGCTGGCTCTTTGTCTGCTCAGGGAACTTGAACAAAAGGAGAAACTCGGATGAACTCTCCATCTCTCGCTGTTTCTGGGTTATCTAATCTTCGGGAACTTTATCCAGGGAGAATTACCCAACTTCCTCCTCGCGCTCCTCACTACTGACAAAACAAGCGGCCTCCCGAGGAAGCCCCCCCACTTCGCTTGCAGAAGGTGAGTTTGTCCGATGGCTGGTTTGTTCTTCTCTCCCCTCGTCCCGCGGCGGGCTTCGGTGTGAATGGAAAGTGCGAAGTGAGGGTGCCCTATGGGGAAGCCACAGGCAAGAGGGATCTTTTCTCTTTCTTTGTAGGCTGCGCAGCGCAGGGAGGTATTTATTGTTTTTAGGGCAGTAACTCACCCATTGTGTACATGCTCCTGTGGAATAGATGGGTGGCCGCTAATCAGTCCTGCCCCCCTGCAGGCTTGCATTAGGGTCTAGAGAGAACTTGAAGAGTCTGGGTGTATTTTTCCCCCTAGGGAGGGGGAGGAGGAACAGGCAAACTTCTCAGGATTATGGGACTAATCAGAAAGGAAAAATGTTCAGAAATGCTGGCAGCAAAATGTGGCGGGGTGGCGAGGGGCATTTAATCTGTAGGGGTGAGGGTGGCGGAGGTGGTTTGCTTCTGTAGAAATGTGGCTAAAATGCTGGGGAGTGCCAGGTACTGGGGCACTGCTGGCGTGGGACTTCTTAGGGAGGGCAGGGAAGAGGTGGAGTAAGGTGTGCGGGAGGGCATAGTCTGGGGAGCTGAGAGACTAGTGTGGAGGATTTTGTTCAGTTTATGAGGGTGACTACAGGACGGCCAGACCTGCTTGGTTCTAAGTCAAACTCCCTTGCCCCCACAGTATATAGCAAATGGCTTTCAATCAAAGCAGAAAGCCAAACCTCAACTGGGTATTGATTGGAGTGCGTTAGCATAATGCTTTCTATTAAATACTTTGCAACTTTGGAAAACTTATTCTCTTTTAAACGTCTTTTTATTTCTCCCTCTTTTTGTCTATATCTTAGCTCTGTTTTTTCCCATTTCCCCTCACTTTTTTTACATTGTGTAATAACTGCTCCTTCTTCTTCCTTCATCCCACTCTGCTACCTTCCCCTTTTTTTCCTTGTGGTGTTCTCTTCCTACTTGAGGCATCTCTCCCCTCACCCCTACTACCTCTCTGTTCTTCCCCTTTTTATTTCCCATTGCCAGTGTCTCTGTACTTTCCCAGTCTTGAGATACAGTCACATTCTCCTCTCTCCTTTCACTTGCCTACCTCTTGCACTAAAAATCCCTCTCACTTGCTAGGACTGCTTCCTCTCTCTGGCCATGCACAGGGGTGCACACATCTACTCAAAGGTACATGCTTCTTCCCTACTCCTCTCCTACCCTCTAAATAACTTTTCTCTTACTCTTACATATATGTAGGCTCCCCTGCTATATGCATAGGACTATATTACACAGATTCTTTTGCCCCCTGCCAGTTTCCCCAACCAAACCTCCTCTCCACTCCATTGATGCTCCCATCCCCCTCTCTATAGACTCCTCCCATCATCTCCACAAAGGTTTTCTCTATTTCTCCCCCTCCCTCTGGCAAGTAGTAGTTTGTTCTCCTTCCTCTCTCTCTCTCTCCTTTCATGCCCATTCTTGGCAGCACAAAAACAGGCTCCCTTACCTTACCCTCCGCCCCCACACCTCCACATATACAACCAGCAGTGAAAGTAATTTAAAATTTCTTACAGGTACTATTGCAACCTGGGTTCCTGACAGCTCTTTAAATAGCACCCTGCTGTCTTCTGCTGCACTTCAGGCAGTTCTTGCCAGAGTTGTGCGCCACAGTGCATCCACTTACTTTCACCTCTTCACACAATTGTTGTTTGTGCCAGTATTCCACCCTCCTCCCCCAATTTCCCATGGCAGCTATCACTGAAAGAGCCACACAGGAGGCAGGAACAGTGGGAACTCTAGTGTAGACAAACTGCTTCTAAGTAAAAAATTAAAAAACAACAAATATTCTGGTAGTATTTTAACGACTAACAAAACATGTAGGTGGTATCATGAGCTTTCATGGGCACAGCCCACTTCTTCAGATGACTGGAGTGTTGGAAGTCCAGAACTTTGTACTTTGTCATCTGTTCTGTGTAGGGCCAGGTCTCAGCAGCAACTTTTGAAATGCTGCCAGCATCTTGTCTGCACTAATATTTCCACTAATGGAGATGCAAAACTGGGAAATACTACATTTACAGGGGAAAAGCTACAGGTTCTGCCTTGCTTCACTCCCATCATTCCAGATTTGCAGGTGTCTGAGCATGTGTATTCTCTTATTTGTCACACTCACCCCAGATACTTTCTTACTTCCCATGTCTTTCAGGCTTTTGAAATATTTCTGAGGTCCTTTGAAGATCCTCTGTCACTTTTCCCCTTAAGGCTTCAGTGTGTTTCAAGACATAAAACTACTCATTGCATGAAGAAATACCCATGCCTGTTTCACAGGATATTGAAAGTACTAACAGTATCCAACTGGATTCTTTAGTACTCCATCATGATGTTTAAAAGCTATCACCAAATTCTAAATTTAGAAGATGAGGAAATCATCTAGTTTAAAAAAAATAGCTGAAATTATTCAAATGCTAGATTGTAACTTTGATATCAATACTTAAACCAGGAATGGTTCTGTAGAATTACTAGTCATGCATTAGAACTAACACTCATTCATTATCTGAATAGGTAAAGTGCTTGTCAGGAGCATGATGGCAGCCAAAACATCTTACAGCAATGGGTGCCATATTGAATTTGCAATGGTGGGATAGCATGGTGGATACTTCAGTGTGGATTAACATAGTCCAAGCACTTCATGACGAAAGACTTCCTACTTCATCGTTTGGATGTATACATCTATTAATAAACTGATAAAACTGGTGGTAGTGGCTCTTGAAGTCAGAAAATATGGAAGTTGCTGTTGAAAATAGTTTGGAGTAGATCGCTTTGTGACAGTGATATTCTACAATTACAATAAGGTAGGTCTGTTCTCTAGTCATTGCAATACTTACATATTGCTATCTGCTGAAATCTTAATTTGTAGCTGTTCTTTCTTTGATAGGTTACAGTATGTAGTGCTATTGGTAGCAGAGTGGAATGTCTATTTTGCATTCGACATACATTTCTTTAGACAGAATACTCAGTGGCCTGATTTGCAGCAGTATTGAACATTGACAAACCTTTGAAGTCAGTGGGAACTAGACATGCTGGGAACAGCTAAAAACAAGCCATTAACTTTTAAGAAAAGTAAGATTAAAAATAGTTTAAACATTGCCTACAGTCATGATATGTAACAGAATTGCTCTTCTAAAAGGCAGTACTATATTGAATTCAGTTTATAATAAGTGTTTCCTGTTTTTAGACTAAACAAAAAAACCACCCTCCAAACAAACATTTTTACAGAAGATAGGATCAACAGAATTTTCATTAAGAAAAATAAAATGAAAAGTTCCTTTTTAAGTTTGGATTTAAGCATTCTTGTTCTACAATATTTATTTGGAAATCTGATCTTACAGCATTGTGAAATGATGAGATGTGAGCAGCTGAATCTCACTCCACTCTTTTCACATTTTAAAGTGAGAGACAAGCAAAAAAATGATCTATGGAGAAAAGGAAAACTACTAAATATGGAATTTCATAAATCTAAGATGTTAATAGCATAGGTGGGGAAATCTGTAGTGTATCTCTAAATGAATTATGAAGTTTGGAAAGAGAATCATGAGTTTTAATGCAAAAAAACCTTGATATCTGTTTACCTGTTTTGCATGGAATGTATTTACAACACAATATCGACAATATGAAAATGGTTGCCTTTGATGTATACTTTCCCTCCTCTGCTCTATACAAGATGTAGTGCAGACAGATGTGTATAATATTGGGAAAAGTGCTGAGCTGGTTGGCCTAATTTAAAGCAAAATTAAAAATCTGACCAAATCACTTGCTATCCTTTCCAGATGTAGAGAGAAACTGATTGCCTTTGTGGCTTGTTTTGTGTATAGTTACTTACACCTGATTTTTTTTTGGGGGGTAATAAGGATGTCCATTTTTATTTCTCTTGCTTACGGAGGCCATAATCTTGCAAAGTATTGAATGCCTTTAATAGAGCTCAAGATTTGTGCCCCTAAATGTTTTCTGCGGACATTTCTTCTGGAACTTGGGATACTTTAAATCGGCAGTATGGAAGTGTTTGTTTTCAAGTCTTATAAAAAAGAAAATACTGGGTTGTTTGTGTTTAGAAAAAAATAAAAAAAATCTGTGCTGCATGCAATTTAGCATCAATTCACAACAAAAGCTTAGTCATTTAGGCTTTTTTTTTTTAAATTAAAAACTTGTTTTCAATTAACATAAATCTCTTCCTCATCGGCTGCTTTCCCCTTACACATCTACAGGTCTTTGCTTTTGTTCAAAGTTAATTTTATTAGTTTTCTAATAAATATAAAATGTGGTTTATTTTTAAAATCTAATTGAAATCTATTACTTTGAAATTTGATAGCTCTGGAGCAAAAAATTTATGTATACAAAGAGATGACTACTGTGCTTTAAATTATTTGAGTCTTTGGTATTATTAAGTTTTTTTTGCTGTCATGGTTTTCAGGACACAGGTTTTTCTTTTGTTGTATGTTTTCTCATACTTTTATTTGCATTACATGTCATAATTAATTTCTTAGGGTCAGCAATAAGATTTAAGGATAAAAAATACAATTTATGTTTCATATGACTTTGGACTAATTCCAGGAGAAATGAAAAGCAGGATTCAGAGAGAAAATGCTTTTGCCTTACTCTATTAAGCAAAATAACCCTGCGCTATTAAAAACAAAACAAAACAAAACAAACCCTCTTGTGCTATAAAGTCATCTTCAGTTCAGCTCCACCTTTGGTCTAATTATTCAACCTGTTGTTCTCATTATTCAGTGACACTGTAAGAAAAACTTTAATTTTGACCCCACCATTTTTGGTTATAAGAAATGCTCTTTTCCCATGTTTTGTTTGTTTGTTTCATATTGATATGAAAATGACCATGGGAATAACAGAGCAACAAATAGAAAGAGAAGTTAGAGAAGGTATGGCAAAGTGCTTTCAGTCTGTCATGGTTGGTTAAATAATAATATTGAGCTTGATCACTGGGAAGAAAGGAAGAAGTGAACAGGGATTGTTGTAACTTCTGTTTTATAGATATTTCAGTATGGGGTGCACTTAGATGTTGTTATGAATAGTGGCTATGTAGAGGAAGGGGAGACTGCTCCCTCATGAAGGAAAAACCCACAGATTGGGGCCCTGTGGAAAGAAAAACTCAGTCAGGTTCCACCTCCTTCCCCTTCACTATACTTCCTCCTCAAGTCGTTTTCCCTGCAAAGAATGAATTCTCCAATTCTTGCAGAAGAAAAAACCTGAGATCTGCACACATTTTCAGTTGCTATTTGTCAGAGGCTATTTGTTAGTACCCTGTGCTAACTCTGTGGGGCCTCTTTTATTTTCAGCAGCAGAGCTCCAATGGACCAATGTTGCCTGAGATTCCTTCACTAGTAGCTGCCCCACAGCCTGGCGTTTGTGGCCCAGTACAAGTTTCCATGTTTAGACTAGAGTCATAGAATACTAAGGGTGTGTCTAGACTACAGAGTTTTGTCGACAAAAGTGGACTTTTGTTGACAAAACTATACCTGCGTCTACACTACCGCTGAGTTCTGTTGACATAACATCGACAGAACTCAGCAGTTTTGTCGACGCTGGTAAACCTCATTTTACGAGGCATAACGCCTTTTGTCGACAGAGTTCTGTCGACAGAAGGTGTTATTGCATCTAGGGTTGTGTCTAGACTACAGGGTTTTGTCGACAAAGCAGCTTGCTTTGTCGACAGAACTGAATGTAGTCTAGACACTCTTTGTCGACAGAAGTTTTGTCGACAGTATCTGTCGACTGTCGACAAAACCCTGTAGTCTAGACGTACCCTACGACTGGAAGGGACCTCAAGAGGTCATCGAGTTCAGTCCCCTGCCCTCGTGGCAGGACCAAGTACTGTCTCTAGACCATCCTTGATAGACATTTATTTCAGTGTTTAACCACCCTGACAGTTAGGAACTTTTTCCTAATGTTCAACCTAAACCTCCCTTGCTGCAGTTTAAGCCCATTGCTTCTTGTTCTATCCTCAGAGGCCAGGAAGAACAAGTTTTCTCCCTCCTCCTTTTGACACCCTTTGAGATACCTGAAAACTGCTATCATGTCCACTCTCAATCTTCTCTTTTCCAAAGTAAACAAGCCCAATTCTTTGTTTTCCTTCAAAGGTCATGTTCTCTAGACCTTTAACCATTCTTGTTGCTCTTCTCTGGACCGTCTCCAATTTCTCCACATCTTTCTTGAAATGTGGTGCCCAGAACTGGACACAGTACTCCAACTGAGGCCTAATCAGCGCAGAGTAGAGCAGAAGAATGACTTTTTGTGTCTTGCTCACAACACACTTGTTATTGCATCCTAGAATCATGTTTGGTTTTTTGCAACAGCATCACAGATCCCTTTTTGCTGTACTCCTTCCTAGACAATCCCTAGAAATTCAAATCCCTAGATCCCTTTCTGCCATACTCCTTCCTAGACAGTCACTTCCCATTCTGTATGTGTGATTGTAGGGTAGCATAATGTAACTTTAAGACTGAGATTCCTGGCCTCAAGGAGGGCTGCCTAGTAGCTCAGAGACTGGGTGTATAGGGCAGATAATGCCTCTGAACTTGATCCCATAGAATTTGGGGACAACAATGAGTAGAGGAACCTCTTTGCATGTAGATGCACTGATTGTGGTCTGGTCTGTTTCTAAATGTACAGACATTTTACATTTTAGCTTTGGTGCTAAAGTAAAGGCATCAGTCATCAGTTTTGTCCCTTATTTTTCTTGGTGCTGATTCACATTGAGATCTGGTATCGTTCATGTTGACTTAATGAAAAGAGGATGGTTCATGGCCCAGTAAATGAGGAATAATGTTAGAAAGAAAGAGTTACTGTGTGTGAATTATATAGCTGAGATTTTAAAAAAAGTAATGGCAGTATATTAGAGCTCTGACTCAGAAATATTGAAGGGCAGCCCATTGCTCAAGCAACACTTAGGCACAATCATATAAGATACTTGCTTTAAAAGGCTAAGTAAATAGGTCAGGATGGAGGTGAATCATTATTGGAATAGAGTTTTCATCTTGCTCTATTTTTTAACTCAATTGTTGTTTTATATAACTGGATGGTATTAACCAACCCACTTACAGACTCTATTCTGCTCTTTTGAACTTAAACAGACAACTTGAAATTTGCTGCAGACCTTCTGTGAAGCCTGGGCTGCGTGCTATTGTGCTTGGTATCTTTCCCTTTTGTTGATTAAAATTCATAGACATGTTTAAGGAGGATTGGGAACTCCCTGAGTACGTCTCGACTACATCCCTCTTTCGACAGAGCGATGTAAATGAGACCCTTCAAAATTGCAAATGAAGCCGGGATTTGAATTGCTTGCGCTTCGTTTACATAATCACATCATGGCCCTCTTTCGAAAAAGCGCTCTTTCTAAAATGAAACTGCAGTCTAGGTGCAGTTCTTTTGAAAATAAAGCCTTTTTTGAAAGATCCTGTAAACCTGAGGTTTTTGAAAGAACCGCGTCTAGACTGCGGTTTCACTTTCAAAATAGCGCTTTTTTGAAAAAGCACCATGACGCAATTATACAAAAGAAGCGCAGGAAATTCAAATCCTGGCTTCATTTGCAATTTTGGAGTGTCTAATTTACATCCCTCTATTGAAAGAGGGATGTAGTCTACACACACCTCATGAATTTCAACCCAGAATCAGATAGGACCATAGAGGAAGAAACTTCCCCCTATTTGGTTACAATGCTGCTCCAAGTGCAAATTCTATCTTCTTAACTGTACACATTGTAGAGCACATTGCTAGGAAAATATTCTATTTACAGAAATAGAACACTTCAATCATTTGCCTTAAATCAGGATAATTCTGT